CCCGGCTTACCAATATGCATTTTTTTTTTTTTTTTTTATCCCCCCCCCCCCCCCCCCGTGCAGATCTCAAGGAAAATATTCTCCGAGTCGGACCAATACCACAACCTCCAGTTTGGAAACACACATCCCACGAATGACCAAGTGGAGGAATGGAAAAGAAGCACATGGGCAGACTGGTTGGTAAAGTTAGATGAGGATTGGAAATTATTCAACGCAGAAATTGAAGACGACAAAAAAGAATGGATTGAAAAAAAAGAAGGAGACTGGGTAACTCTACTCAATGACTTAGAAAACAAATGGTTACACTTCAACCCAAAATTAGATGAAGAATATCAAATAGATGTGCTATCGCAGTCAGAAACGTGGGATGAAAATGAATGGAAAAATTGGATCTCAACAGAAGCAAAACAACTCCTAGAAGCCGACCTAAAAAAATGGTTCACTCGTAGCGCAATGATATATTCTAAGTGGGCTATGAATACATGGAATGACTGGAAAAATGAAAAAATAAAAGAATGGATTACAAGCGAATGGAAACAAAGTGAAGACAAATACTGGTCTAACTATGATGAATATACTTTACAAACCCTAGACTTTGAAGACCAAAAACAATGGTATAAATGGAAGGAAAGAATATACAGGGAAGGAGTCGAATGGAAAAATTGGATTGCCGTTAGAGAAAGCAGATTTGTCAACTCTAATTGGAACACCTGGTCCGATTGGAAAAAAGGGAAACAATTACAATTTAGTGAATGGACCGAGACATTTGTTGATAACTGGATTAAACAAAAACAATGGCTTGTGTGGAATGAGGAAAGAAAAAATGCAGCCGATGAACAGAAACTCGCAGAGGAACAAGTAGCTGCTCCAAGTCAACATGCCACTCCTGTTAGCGTAGAAGAACCCGCCGCCGAAGCCATGGCCGCATAATCCGCAAAAAATTTTCTTAATTTCTTCCCCCAATGTTCTAAAAAAAAAAAATAACACTTTTTTTTTTTTAAATCAATTGCGCACATGTATTTTTTATTTGTTTCTCCCTTTTTATATAAAAAGAATGTGAACAAATTTTCCTAAAACAAAAAAAAAAAAAAAGGAAAATATATCCCAATTGCGAAAGAAAAAAAAAAATAAAATAAATAAATTAAAGCAGAAAAAAATTACCAGTTATATTTTTTTAAAATAAATTTTACCATTTACATATAATAAATTAGAAAAAATTACTGTTTCCATGCGAGAAACGTATACATGTATTTCCACACTTGCATTTGTTCCAACTGTTGCTGCTGGTAACATTATAAATGCATAATTAATAAAACGTATCTTTTTGGTATAAATTAATTTTTACACGCATTAGGGAAATTAAAATGCATATTAAAGAGCAGTTTAGAGTTGCTATGTGATACTGTATGTGTGATGAACACCAAGTAGTTTCCAATTAATTAAAATGGATGAGATAAAATGTTTCTCTTCATTAAAGAAAAAAAAATCAACAGCCATTTTTTAATTAATGCCAGAGATTGCGCTTATAAACAATTATTTTTTTTTTTTTTTATGTTTAAAAGGATGAAAATTGGAAACCTTTTTTTTAATCCTTTTTAAATCTCCGTTTTTTAATCCGTTTTAATTTTTTTTTTTTTTATAATATTTCCGTTTT